AAAAAAAGTGTTTTACATCGTACTTTCAGATAAACCTTAGCTGATTTGATCAGAAACGTAATTTACAAAGTAAACTAAAACTACAAGCTTTAGATTATGTCAAGGGTCACATAGAGATCCGGTCTTGCTCAGATGCTAGTATTGAATTTCCCCAACTTCCACTTCACTCAATCCTTCTTTTTTAATAGCATATAAAAACCACTTGCATTTTCCCAACTGCCCATTAGCATTTGCAGTGTCGTCCAGATGACCTGTTCGTAAAGTGTTGGTCAATAGATTGAAAGATATTATGCCCATTGCCGGCGATTATAAACCCCATTTTAAAATGCTTTTATCATGGACCATATTCTCTTCGGGTGTGGATTCATCCATATCGTGCGGCGGAAATGTCGTGTGAAAGGTACACGTATATGGGATTTGTTTAAAACCGATATATTTAATGGTAAAATACGTTATTTTGTCGAGTCATTCGACTATTAAAAAAGTTACAAAATGATCTCTTGATTATAGGATGATACTTTGCTGAGTCTTCGGCTATTAAAAGTTATAAAATGATCACTCGACTATTCATGTGTTTCAAACTCGTCATTTTTTGTTGAAAAATTAGTGGTTGTCTGAGCGAGACATTAACTTATTGATTATGATAAAACCTGATCCTAAAACTGTTTGAGATGTTTTTCGTGGATCGAGTCTTCGTTTCATTATGTTGTTGAGTCAATGTTTTAATTGTAGGGTTTGAAACATATGAATAATCTGATGATCGTTTTATAACTTTTAATAGTTAGAGAACTTAACAAAATAATATCTTATAGTCAACGACTATTTTATTACTTTTAATAATCGGGAAACTCATCTAAGGTTATATAGTCATGAAACCATTTTTATAATTTACCTATATTTAAAGGACATGATGGTAGTAGGTGGAAATTTACTTTGGAAATTTAACATGTTATGGGGTTAGGTGCTAAATTCACGCAACTAAACCTCCAATACATTGCTTTGACTCAAACAAGGAAAGCTTTAGGACTGGTTCTAAGCCTTGCATTTTAGTTTTCAAGTCATTCAGGAGTAAGTTCGCTTCGGTAGTAGATTTAGAAATATTTTTAAAGATAAATATACATATATTAATAATATTAAATTTTTGTATGCAAATATAAATATAAAAATTTAAGATACACAATCGATAAAATAAATAATTAACAAAAAAAAATCAAATTTCAAGATACATACTCCTCTCCCCATCTTGGAATTAATAAAACCTTAGCCCATCATCACAAGTAAAATTTCTGAAGATGTTTATCTGAATATGTTCACCGACTTTCAAGATGCTTTATCTTTTTATTATTTAGTTCAGACTATTGAGGGGGGGGGGAGTATGACCAAGAACCATTCAGAGTGTAATTAACATGCATTTCCACTTCCATACGCATCTCGGGAAAAAACGACATAGGGTAGAAATTTTCATATCAATAATGATTAATTAAGCGAACATCGTTACCAGAAGGCAATGTACTTTTCATCAGACATTTCTGTCAAACTTTTTCTGATTGTATCAAAAAATATAATTTATAGGTTGATAACTTAAACTACAAGGTATGATTGTTAATGATAGTTTGGAGATTTTATGAACCATGGAATCCTTTTTTTTTACCGAGCTTCTAACAATGATAAACTTATTTCATTTCTTGAGGACGATCCATCGATGCCGGGTGAAGAATCTGCTTCCAAGATAAACAAGAAACCAGGTTGTTTAGGCGAAGGCAATTCATTGCGACTTCCCAAAATAAGAACCACAGATGACACGCTCGGCCTCTCCTCGGGATGCTGCTGTACACATAAAAGGCTAATGTGGATGCAACGTAAGAGTTCGGATAGATTGCCGGGGTCGACTAAGAAATCATCAGCAACATCCGAAGGCTTCCCTTCTGTCCATAATCTCCATGCCTGCAGCAAAATTCAAACCTTTTATTTATTTATTTATTTATTTTTAAGAATTTGTAATTTGTGAGAAAACATTAACCATAAGTAGTATCTGTTGGCATTTACATGTTCAACGAGGTTCTGGCTTTGATTCGCATGATAAAATCCTCTGTTCTTTCTTCCACTTATAACCTCCAACAACAAATCCCATAGCTAAAAACATCTGATTTTACCGAAAACAGACCGACGCTAGCATATTCTGGTGCCATATAACCACTGCAGAACATTGCCAGACAAAGAAAATGAAGATTTTTTAATTGGGATTTATGGATCAAATAATGTCACTAAGTTCTTTTCCAACGACTCTATTTGTATTGGCTTCCGTTTGATCTCCTCCAAAAGTTCTTGCCATGCCAAAATCCGAAATTTTTGGGTTCATCTCACTGTCAAGTAGAACATTACTAGCTTTTAAATCTCTATGAATAATCCTCAATCTCGAGTCTTGAAGAAGGTAGAGTAGTCCTCTAGCAATCCTGCTGATAATTTGAAAACCTTGGACCAGGTTAATACTTTTCGTCTCGTTTGATCTACAAATTACGCATTCATGTTAGTCCTGCATCTTATTTAATCAGTGAAGCAGCAGAAGTGAAATCAAAGAGACGTTTTCTAATGATTTTCAGACCAAAAATGAAAGAGTCAAGGCTTGTATTAGGCATGTATTCATAAACCAGCATTCTCTCATCTCCTTGAGCGCAACATCCAAGAAACCTTACAAGATTCCGATGCTGAAGTTTGGCAATCAGCTTTACTTCATTCTTGAACTCATTCAATCCTTGTCCAGAACTCTTTGAAAGTCTCTTCACCGCTATTTCTTGTCCACTTGGAAGTGTCCCCTGGAAAATTTTAACGAGCTTTCAATAAAATTGTACACTTCAGACCACTCTACTAAAATACTGTAACTTTTACCTTATAAACAGGGCCAAAACCTCCTTCGCCTAACTTGTTACAAAATGAAAAAGTATCAGTAGCTTGAGCTATTGTATCAAACTCGAATACTGCAAGCTCCATACCATCATTCTCATCTTTATTCTCTTTATCATTCACGTTCTTATCTTCAACTGCACCAGAAAATATTATAAAACATAGAATTGGACAAGTTTCTGGACAAACACCGAACGAAAATCAATTTACCTTTTATCTTTCCCCTGTTTCTTCGAATTTAACAAACGACTAAAAGAAACCTGAAAAGGGAAGCAATTACAGTAGCAAGTATGATGGCAAGCTTCACCTTAGCCTTTTTCTTCAGTTCTGCCATTATGTCAAGATGCACGAATAGTAATTATTTGTTACACAAATACTAAATAAAAAACGATACCACAAGATGTAATAAGAACATGTTCTAGCTTTGTGAACCAGTACCTGTTTCTGAAGCAGAGACTCTTATGTAAAGATCCTGATAGTCCCGACCATCTGACTGAAATTGTTTGATATCGATTAGATCACCAAACCACATCACACAGCCACTACCTCCTCTTGTAACATATAAATTAGTGTAGGCCATGCAAGAACAGATTCTCAAGCTCTTAGCCCTACATTCCTTGAGATTCATAGTTTTATTAACCCAAGAATTTGTGGCGTCTGGAGTTTTCACTCTCCTTATTCTGATAAAGTCATCCCCATTCTGGCAGTTCAATGGCTTACTGTGTATACACCCTCCGGTATTATAGGCTGAGTTCCATCTTTCGGGCCATTTCGGCCTGAACCCTGTCAAGCATTGACAACAATCCGGAAGCTTATTGCTATCACAGTTCCCATTTGGACCACAATGTCCATATCTGCCACAAAGGTCAATTGGCGAGCTTAAAAACAGCTGCCAGGTTTGAGTTTCTGGGTTCGCACTTTCGGTTTGGTTCAAAATGCCCCTCAAAATAACTGAACTGTCTTTGGTGAACTGTATGTAGTAAACCTCATTTTCGTTCCAGACGAAGTCATAATCAAATATAGGATTCCACCTTAAATTTTGATACCCACTGAAATCATTGCCATTCCATAAACCACTGCGTGCGTACTTTTGTGAGACTTTTCTTAGAACAGCTTCTGGGTTCCCTTGGAGTTCAATTCCAAAAGTAAGATCACCGGGAGAAGGATCATCCCAGTTCTTCCAGGCTGAAAGTCTTCGATGAAAATCAGTTCTTAAATCAATACCAATTTTGATCCCTGGTAACAGTGTATCTGATGGATAATCAAAGCTTTGCCACAAGTAGTTCTCCGGATTACTATCGTTTCCATCTCTGACAACAAGGTTACCAGAATCCAGGAGCTGCAATACTGGATTCTGAACAATTGCTGTCGAATTAGTCGACCAAACAGCTGTTGTGTTTTGAACTTGAAGCACAAGTCTGCCACTGGTTTCTATCTTCAACATGCCAGCGGAATCGTTTATTGGATTTACCCTGTTTGCAACCCAAACAACAGTTTGCATGGGGATGTTGTTGTAACAGATTCCCAGGTATCGGTTCCTAGAACTGCCAGGAGAGAAGAAACCCAATGCAAAGGTTCCATCATTGGAGACTAAGGTCATGCCATCAGTGAATAACTCTGGTGGAGAAATGGTGTCGATTGTTGCAACAATCAAGGCTTTTGAGAACTAGAAGATGAGGAAACAACAAGCAATGCAAAAACAGAAACCCATTTCCATTGATGTCTAGTACTCTAGACTGATAGGCTTGCTAAATTCAGCATTAGATTGACATTCTAAGTTACATGCATTGACTATAAACGCAGGAGCAGGACTTTTATCTTGACTAAATGAACAGCTGCAAGGGAGGTATATGATTATTGGCTAATAAAACTTTGGAAGTCTTTGCCAGTAACGACGGGGACTAAACGTATTTGATATTTCAGTGGACTTTAAAGATGAATCTCTTCAACTTGCCTTGCTCATCTTCAATAGTTACTTCGAATTTTCTCTAACAGACCAGTTAAAGTTTTGAACAATTTGTTGTTTTATTTTTAAATTAGCATTATATCTTCTTTCTTTACCAAACAACTATTAAGTGAATTAATGAATAAAAGAAAAATAAATAAATTCTCTTTGTATATTCAACAATCTCACTGAGAAGACAAATTCAGGATTAAAAAGGATCAATAACAATCCTTGAATTCAAGCTCAAAAGCTTCCTCCAACAAAAACCAAGAAGCTTCCATCAACTCAGGGCTCAACCTGAACATCAACACACAAAACTCCATCTGGTTAAGCGCGCCATCGCCGTCGAAATCACCTTCTTTCATCATGGACCTCAGATCATCGTCGGTCAAGTCTTGTAACCCCAAGAGTGCCGAATTCTTCTTCAGGCTATCGAAAGTGATGACCCCCTTTTCACCGTCCATCAACAGGCTGAACCCATTGCACAGCTCCCCTATCAGACCTTCCCCTCCGAGCTTGTCGGCCATCACGGGCAGGAAATCATGGAAACCCGAAGCTGATGACGATGAGTTTTGTGAAGCTGGTGGAGGAATTGCAGACATGGTTGATGGTAATAAAAAAAAAGAAACAAGAGGGAAGAAAGCAAAATCTGGGAAATGTTTGGAGAATTTGATTGTGTTTGATTGAATGGAATGTCTGGGGGAGCTTGGAATGGAATATATAGAGAAAGGTTGAAGGAGATGAGTTGAGATTTCCGAGAAAGAGAGGCCATTGAAAGACAACTAAGATACAGGTAATAATTAGGTCGTGAAAGGGGGAAATGCTGCTGCTGCCTTTCTGCAAGGTTTCTTCTAGGAAGGTAGGATAGGGATAGAATTGTAAATATTAGCGAAACACAGAGTGGTTTCTTAAATATTTTTCTTCGATATAAAGGAATGATTTAGGGTGTATTTGATTAAGGGAATGTAAATTCTAATAGGAATGAGATCAATTTTTTTCGTTTGGTTGGTCGGGAATGTCATTCCCGGTAATCTTACATTATTAATAGTGGATTTTTTTATGTATATTACCGAGAATGTCATTACCTCCCTTTTCTTTAGGTATTATTGGATTATCGACGTTTTAGACTAAAATACCCTTAATTTTTTTTTCAAAAATATTCTTATTCTGTCATTGAATAATAAAAATTTTACAAATGTTACATTACAAATTTATCCTTAAATTATTTTAGATTTACAAAAAAAAATCTATAATTAAAATTTTATATAAAGTTCAGAGGTTAAAATAAAATTTTATCCTTTCATTAAACCTTTTATATTTTCAATTTTGTAAAAAAATTATATAAATTTTATGAATTTAATTTTTTTTAAAGAAAATATATAAATATTTTTCAACTTGTTAAAAAACAAATATATAATAAGGACAATTTGGTTAAATATACATTCCAATAATCTTTTATTCCTCTAACCAAACACGGTAATCTTACATTCATGCTTAACCAACTAAACACAAAATACAACATTCCCAGTAATCTTATTCCCTGATAATCTTTTATTTCTACCGGTAATCTTATATTCCGTAAACCAAATGCACCCTTAGGGTAAACTATAGAGGCTTAAACTTAATACAAGAAGCAATGCTTAAAGGAGGTCTCGAAAAATGTTTTAATATCTAAAGATTTTTTTATTAAAATAAGTATTTAAAATTTGTTTCGTTATATTTTTAAGTATTTATCGTTAAAAATTATTAAATGACATGTATTACGTCCAAATTTTTTAAAAATATATTTTTAAATTTGGACGTGATACGTGTCATTTAACAATCTTTTTAACAATAAATATCTAAAAATGTAACGGAAAAAACTTTAGGTAATTATTTTTAATAAAAAAATTCTTTAAGTACCAAAAGTTAATTTTGAGTATACTTTAGGCACTTAGTTTTATATTAAGTCAACTATATATTTAGTCCCTCACTATTCCGTTTTGGTTATTTAACTATTTTTTTCCTCAAAATCATACTTAATATTACGTTTTAATTTCGTTTTGATCACTCATCGTTAAAAAAATTAATTGTGATGTTGACGTGTCATCGTAAGATAATATCACTTCATCATTGAAAAATATAAAATATCACGTCATTAGTTCTATTTATTTTTTAATAGTGAGTGATTAAACTAGAATTAAAACATAATATTATACATAATTTAAAAAAATAGTTTAGTGGCCAAAATAAAATTACAAGTAGGTGACTAAATATGTAATTAACCCAAGATTTTATTCAAATATTCAAAAATATATTTAAAAAATAAAACTGATTTATGATTATTTTTTAAAAATAATACATAAATCTATGAGTGTTTAAAAATATCCGGCCCAATTAACCCGACCCATCAACCCATCGATTCGAACAAAAAAATGGGTAATTCTCTAAAAAAAATGACATGACCCGTAATATTTTCCTCTGGGCCGAATTTTTTTATAACCAGGTGCCCAACCCAATAATATATATATTTTTAAATTATATTTTTATTTTAAGTTCCTTAATATTTTTACCTTAAAGTTAAAATTCAAATCCCTATTTTTCCCTTAGATTTGGATATATACTTTTAAGTTTTAAATTTTACAAAAAAAATTTATTAATTTGTCAATATGATATCCAAAAAAATACTTCAATTTTTTCTGTTGAAAATAAACTTTAATATATATATATATATCCTTAAAACTAACTTCAAATCACTAATTTTTCATATGGATTGTGTATAATGCATCTTTAAATTTTTAAGTATTTTCTTTGTGATTTTTTTAGAAAAATTAAATTAAAAAATAAAAATAAAAATAGATGAACAGGATACCCGTGACCCGAAAAATACTAGTACCCAAATTTTACGGGTACCCGAATTTAACAAGCCGAAAAATATACTAGTCGAAAGATATTCGATACTTCGAGTAACAAAAAATAATGTACCCAATTTTGAGCAACCCTACATAAATCCATCACATTTTTTGTTAGTGTAACGTCAAACATGTTTTGGAAAAGTATTTTTTTCGGTGAAATGTATGATTTCATTGATGAAGAATCATACAAGAGAAAGGATTAATATATGTCTTATTAAAAATCTCCCTAACTTAGATGAAAGAAAAGAGTACACGTGTTAATCAACAAAAACACAAAGATCCAAGCACCAACAAGTAGCCAATCCATACAATTAATCAGTACCAGTACCAACCAGCAGCATATCTTCATGCAAAAGTCTGACAATCGAGCATGGCGGGGAAGCAAAGAAAATAAGCTCCAAGTTATCGAATGGAGCACCTTTAGCCAAAGCATCTGTTACCTTGACGAAGAACATGAATTTTAACGCACCAATTCCGGTTCCTCAACTCATTAAGATGCCCTCCTAGTGAGATCGAAGAATGTTTAAAGCTTCCATGCTATCGAGCTCGACAATGACCTGTCGAAAACCGGCTTCCCAAGCAAGGTTTAGCCCAACATAAGCACCCCACAATTCAGCGTCAACTACTGAACATGCACCAATGAACTTGGAAAATCCGAATAATCAATTTCCAGAACTATCTTTAGCAACTCCACCACACCGACCATAACTATCCGTCTCTCTCCACGCGGCATCAGTGTCGAGTTTAATCCACGGGTTCGAAGGCAATGTCCAATGAGATTTACCTCGATGAATTCCAGAAGTTGTAGGCACAGATTGTTTATCCTTTAACCGAGCCTGAGTCGTTAATCGAACAAGCCGTATACAACGCTGAATTATCGTTCCTTCACCTTCCATCGGGGAATCGAATACCCTTTCATTCCGAGTGCGCCAAATGTTCCATAAGGCTGCCGCAAACATTAGAGGCCATTCTGTAGGATCTTTAGTAAAACTAGCACCTCCTTGAAGATTCGTGAAAATCTAATCCGAAATTTCCAGATTCAAAAAAGAATACATTTTATGAGGAACGATCAGTTCAGACCAAACCTGAAAAGTATTTTTAATACAATATATTTTTATTAAATATTATTATGTTTATTGTTTTTATTGTTTTTAGTTTTTTTATATATACGAAGTAAATACAAATCAATATTTATTCAAAGATTCTCAATTTAGGGAGAATAACGAGTCTCTCAACAACCACCGAGGTCAATTGATTATTGTTTTTAGTTAAGTGCTTTTAAAATGGATATGTTTTTTTATCATTGACATAATGTGTTTTATCAGTTAAATATTATATTATTTTTAACCTACTTTTCGAATTCACATTTTGAAACAAATAATTTTTTTACTTAATTTATTAATTTAGAATATTCTTAAATATATACAAAAATGCGAACATGTATATTTATAGTTAAAATTTCTCTTTAAAGAAAAAGAAATTCAGTGCTCAAGTCTTATTAAAAATAATAGAACTTATTTTATTTTAATTCAATAACTATTTTATTTAAGCCAACATGCGCAAGTGTTTGGAATTCAGGAATTTGAGTTTGTAAGATCAAGTTCGAACCTACCACCGTCACTCTTGGTGGACAATTTATAAATTCTTATATAAATTTCAAATGGGTCTTAGATATGCCGTGAGGAGTCCTCCCTAATCTAAACATTTTGTGTATATTAGAATGTGTACTTCAACCAAAAAAAAAATGCCAGTTTCAACCTTTCGTAATCACAAGCTGGTAGAATTAGCATGTTAACTAATAGAAAACAAATGCCGAGTTCAACAAAAACCTCAAGCTAAGTTCGACTCTGTTAAAAAATGTTGATATCTTTGAAGAAATATTTCAACGTATGAAAATGCTAGAAGTACTGGATTCATTTCTATATTTTCACGTAATCTCTGGAACTACAGACTTTTCTTTAAAAAATTCCAGTTTATGAATATCAGGGATAGAATCCAGACTCCAACGATGACATTCTTTTAACAAAACGCAACTTAGGTTTAAACGATGAAGATGACATTATTTAGAGAGACAACTTGAAACCTTGAAACGTTATTATTTTCTATGAACGGTAAAACAGGGATGGAAGATATTTTCGTTACAAGGAAAAAAAATACAGTCTGTTAAGCTCAAGTTTCGGAGAGGACCGGCATTACAAGATAAGGGTGAGGTTGATAATGATATATAATAATTTTGAAGTAACATTGACTAATTCTCAGGTTGAATCGATTATTTTTTTCTTTATTTTTGTCAAAGCTAACAGTTGTACTTGTAGCAGTGATGAGTGTTCAAAATCGTCAATCTTTACTCGTTATTTATTCGGTTTTGTGAAATTATTGCTGCTAAATTGGTCGTGTTATGTTTGTTTTCATGCAGGTCCTTACTTTTCAGAATTAGTGACAAAACGGACGCATTCTGTATTTTTTTTTATTATTTGGTCACGGCTGGAGATATGGGCACGACGCGGTCTGACGTGACGGTTTCTAGAAGGTCCAGTCAGCAATGGTTTCTAGCAGACTTTCTCCGCACGCCTTCTGGAAGATGGACGAGCAGAGTTGCATCAGGAGATTAGTTTTAAGTTTGAATTTAAATTAAAAAACAATTATCTTATGATTATTTTATTTTATTTTCTTGTTTATCTTTATGCTTTAAGAGGCTTTAAATACCCACTTGGGGGTAAGCCTAAAATCATCCCTCAAACTACAATCTTCTTTTCTCTCTTGTTTTATTAAAGTTTTTTCTTTTTACTTTTTAAGTTTTTATTTCTTCTTTATTTTCAAGTTTTGTTTTTATGTTAAGTATGACTTTTGTTATGCTTAGCTAAACTTTTCATAAGCCGAGAGTTGATGCAATGACTCAATTCCAATGGGAGAATTGAAACAGGCCCTTAACATCTTCGGAATATCTCTCTCAATCTTTGCGCTCATTTTTCAAAATCAAAATAG